GATGATGATAATAATGACACCGTAGAAAATGTTTTACTATCACTCATTAATTAATACGATTATTAATAAATTAATTAATAAAAAGAAATTATTATTAACCACTGATAACGATTATCTTTAAATATATATATACGGTATAAAAATAAAAATGGCGACTTTATTATATATTAAAAAATTGTTATGCCCTTTATTATATAATATTACGGAAACGAACGCACGTTTTTATATAAAGAAACATAAATAATAATAATAATAATAAAACAACACTATCCTTTCAAAAAAAAAAAATTTTTTTTCTTTTTCTCGAAATATAAAAATTTTCCTTTTTTCCCTTTCTCTTTCTCTCTTACATACTTTTATTATTATTATTATTGTAAACTTAATTAAAAACGACGACACATAAAAACTCCCATATAAATTGATAAATAATAATGATAATAATAGGTTAATCAAAGTAAGAAAACAAAAAAAAAAAAAAAAGAAAAATTCACATCAAAACTTTTGTGTTAAAACCAAATTTGTTTTTTTTTCACACGGCGACAGACAAACAAACAAACAAACGACAACAACAACAACACAAAAAAAAATTAAATTAATGAAAAATAAATAAATAATTAAATATTTTAATAATTAATGTTTTTAAACGTGTAGAAGATAAATGAAAAAAAAATTTTTTTTTAAATTAAAATAAATGAGTACATAAATAAATAAATACAAATACGCACACCAAAAAAAACACTTATTAAAAAACGCGACGACGTCGGGCTTTCACCGCGGGTCACGCTCAAAGAACTGAACGGACTGGAGTTGCATAGCCGACGCCCGCAAAAGCCGATCTGAACGCTTACGCGTTCGCTCACACGATCCCGTCACATATTTTTTTTTTTTTTTTTATTTCTTTTTTAAACAACCAACTACTACTACTCTCCTATCTAGCTTTTTCACGTATTTTACTCATTTTCTTTTAATACTAAAAAAAAGAATAAATAATCTACGTAGGGAAAATAAAGAAATTGAGTAGAGAAAGAGAGAGAGAGAGAAAAAAAAAGATGAAAATGAAGGGTAGAGGGTAGGAAAGAGGTTAAAAAGATGCGCAGAGCTTAAGGAAGAGGGAGGGAGGGAGGTACGTATGAGAAAGAGATAGAGAGAGAGAGAGGGGAGAAAAAACTTATTATAATATTTTTTTTTTTTTACTAGAATAAAGTTGTTGTAAAAAAAAAGTTTAAAAAAAATTTTTTTTTTTTTTTCAGTCTACCTAATAATAATAATTATATAATTTAAATAAAACGTAAATGAAAATGGAAAAAGAGAGTGAGAGAGAGAGAGAGAGTGTGTGTGGATTCGAAGCGAAGACAATGAATAAAAAGAAGAAGAAGAAAAAGAAGAAGAAAAAAAATAAAAGAGGATAGCAGTATAACGAAACCGGAAATTTTATTTCCTATAACTTTTCCCCGTACATGTTCCGTTCATTTTGTATTCCGTTCTGGTGCGTTTGATGGGTATATCAAAATGTAATCGACCTTAAAAAAAAAAAAATTTTCGTGTAATTCGTTACAAGACCCGAGCCTAAATATCCGTTCCTGGAAAAACAAAACTTTATTGTATACCATCATCAGAATCCCATGATGGTTTCTTTTTACTTTTTCGTAGTAAAGGATTTGATTTTATTTATTTATTTATTTATTTTTAATCTGATTTTCTTCACTTTACGACTCACGCAACAACAGCAACAGCAACAACAACAAAATTTTTTTTTACATTTAAAATTTTTATCTTGCATTTCATTCGATTCATTCATTCACTGGAAAAAAAGGGGAACCGGAAAAACCGGAAAACACTTTTTCATGCATTAGTTTTTTTTTTTAAGAATAGTTTTAAAAAGTAATTTTCGGGATACCTTTGAGACACTTATTTATCGATATAAGAATCGAATATAGCCATGAGGACGTTGTTAAAAACGGAAAATGACAAAATTTTGTACCAAAAAAAAGGATTCGATAATATGAAATTGACTTTGTGTGCCTTTGAACCTTAAGGCAAACATTCTTATCGTGTAATAAATCGTTCCACGGGAAAAAGAATCTATCTATCTTTTTCTTCTTAACATTATCTTTTCAAATCATTCAAATCGCGCCCTTACCAAACCTTCCCTTCCTTTCCCCCCATTCCCTCCATTCCATTTAAAACTTATGGATTTTATCCAAAAATTCAAAAAGTTTTATTTTTATTATTATTATTTTTTCCTTTTGAAATTTTCTTTTACTTTTTGTAAAAAAATAAAAAAAAAAAAAAGGGGGGGGGGTTTTAATTTAAATCTTAAAACACCAACATCCGATGACGGTAAAACTGACTACACTTTGAGGTCACTAAACGGATTCAACAAAAGCGTTATTCCAACCACAAAACATTCTGGAATGGTTCTCGGTTATTTTCCATAAAAAAAAAAAAAAACTAAAAAATTTTCTTTTACCTTCCAAAAAAAATTGTTTTAACACAAAACTAAAAATTTTAACTCGATAAATCCGAATTAATTTTCTTTTCTTATTACATCTTTTTTTATTTACTAATAATAATAATAATGAAAACAATCAGAGAGTGTCGTATTATAGTGACGTAATCATTTAAAAACAAAAAAAAAAAGTTTTATTGTTAAAGTTCCAGTCGTGTTTTCGGTTGTAGTAAAAACAAACAAACAAAAAAAAAAAGACATTAAAATTAAGACGACGACGACGACGACAATAACGAGAAAAAAAATCGATATTATCATTCGATACGATAATGATGACGAGTTTTTTTTTTTTTTTTCACTTGGAAATGACAAAAAAAAAAAAAGAAGAAAATTATTGATTAAAATTCTTTATCGAATCGTAAACTAAACACCTGCCTTCCTGTTTGTTACTCTTTCCTGTCTTCCTGTCTCCTTTTTTGTCGTTTTAATAAATTTTTTTTTTTTTTTTTTTTTATTCAAATTGAATTTTCTATCAATCAATCAAAAAAAAAAAAAGCGGGAAGGGGAGAGAGAGAGGGGGGGGAGGGGGAAGGGGAAGAAATATTTTTTCTCATTCGCTTCTCATCAAGTTTTTTTTTTGTGTGTGCGTTCGTACGTTCGTTCGTTTGTTTGTTTGTTTTTCAATTTGTCTTACGTTTAGTAGACAAACGAAATTTTCAAAACGTTTTAAAAACAATGATAAAACATCATGGCGGACGAATCGTTTCTCCATTATTAATACTCGCATAAATAAAATTTTCCATAAATTTTATTTAATGACGCTTTTGAACATAAATTTTGATATTGACGAATTACACACAAACGCAAACAAACCAACAAAGAAACGAAAAAAAGGCAAATTTATTTCTCTTACCTTTGTGCATTCCAGTGGTTTTATCACGAAGAACCGAAAATTCATAAATGTGACCAAATTGCTGGAACAGAGGTCGTAGATCATCTTCTTCTAAATGTCGCGGAATTTGACCAACGAATAACTTTATGATTCCCGGATCACCGTTCACTTTATCACTTCCGTTTCCATTAACGTTTTCGTTATCATTTACAAAATTTTCCGAATTTTGCAAATTTTCATTCGTATTAATTTGCTCGATAACTTTTCCGTTTTTACAATTTGAATTTATAATTATGTCGTGATTTGAAGGTTTGTTAACAACGGGAATAACCATTCCAGTTATGCTGGAATGAATGCTCGTCATCATTTGGGGATGAATTTTTGGGACCAACATGATTTTTATTTTTTATTTTTTTTTTATACGACTCAAAGATACGAAACCTACGACAGAAACCTAAAAATGTAATAATAATAAAAAAAAATTTTTTTTTTGTTTGCTATCCTTTTCCCCCTGACTCGCAAAATTTATAATAACAAAAAAAAAAACTTCGGGATAAAATGTAATAATAATGATGATTTTAACAATTGAGTAGATAACAGGTGCATAGGATTATTCACCTTTGCAACCTTTTATCTATTCTCTTTCGAGAGTCACGCGAAGTTTTTTTATCTATTTACGAATGCAGCATATATGCATATGCATTAACTTACTTCGTTGTAAAAATAAAATACAAAACGCGGACAACACTAAAAAGAAAAAAAAAAGAAAGAAAAATGGACAAATATACAAATAAGGTGTACAAACAACAAACAAAAAAATAAAAAAAACAGGACAAGACTGACTAGCACAATGAACAGTACGACAATGACACCAAGAGTAGACGCTTGGTCTGTGTGTTGTAATGACGTCACTTTCACCCTCGCCCTATCAGCAAACAATCCCATGACGTCATCGAAATGCATCCACGATATGAATTGCAATAAAAAAAAAAAAAGAAATAATAATAATAATAATAATGTATTAGCCTTTTAAAAAACGTAGAGCGTAAACAAAAGGGGGAGAAAAACAACACAAACGCAACACAACTATAAAAACTAAAAATTTATTTACGTTTTAAATATATTTTCGTTACGTAATATTACAATAATAATAATAATAATAATAATTAATTGATTGCAACGGATCCATTTTTTTTTTATTAAATGACGGTTTTTCTTTTCGATTATCATTAAAAAAAAATTTGATTTTAATTTTTTTTTTTTTGTTTTGCGTTAATGTAATTATCGTTATTATTATTATTTCGTATTATCGATCGATTCACGTTGTTTATCATCAATCTCTAAAATGACTTTATTAAACAAAAAAAAGGGTAGATAATATAAAATTTGAAAAAAAATAATAATAATAATTTACACCATTAAAAAAAAGCAAAAGATTAATCAAAAAAAAGAGAGAAAATGTTTTTAAAACGCACAATAAAAAGTATTTAAAAAAAAAAAAAAAAAATGAGAAGGAAAAGACCCTAAGCAACCAACCACGCAAGTTTTTATTTAAAAAGAAGGGAAAAGACCCTTAGAAAAGATTTTTAGGGTGCTGCTGCTGCTGCTGTTGTTCCTGAACTTCAGATTGGGATGATTATCAAAAGGCGACCACTTTTCCAAGCAATCCAAGTACAAAAAAAAAAAAAAAAAAAAAACTTTCTTTTTCCTACAAAAATCAATTTTCTAATATAAAAGAGAGAGAGAGAGAGAGAAATTTTTTGTTCCTTTTCATTTCATTTTAAAAATTGTTCACCTTAAGCAATTGAAAAATATTTTTTTTTTTATTGTTTCAAATCATCAGCAAACAAACGAATTGCAAAAAAAAATTTTTTCTTTTATTTTCCTATTAACTTAACTCATCATAGTAATATTTCATAGAATATAATTTAAATCAAAAAAAAAAAAACGACGTCGTCTGCGTTCATATAGAAAACATTTTTTTTTTTTTTTCTAACAATCTTACTCGAAATTATTATCATTATTCTTTTTTTACTAAACGTTTTTATTTTTTCCCCTCGAAAAAAAGGAAAGAAAAAAAGGAAAGAAAGAAAAAAAAAAAAAAGAGTGCCACAAAGTGAAAATTGGAAAATTTTTTTCACGCCATTTCATTTTTACACTCAACTAATTGCTTAGAAAAGAAATTTTTCTTATTTTCTTTTTTTATTTATATAACTTTTTAATTGAATTTAGTTTAAAAAAGAATTCTTAACAACGCAGAAAAATAAAAAAAAAAACTTAGGATTTAAGTGTAAAAACGATGGGGAGAGTGGGGGGATTACATTTTAAAAAATAAAAATTAAATCGAAAAATCAATTTTTTTTTTCTTCGAATAAAGACCCTGTGACGTAATTTTATTGATCGAATGGAAACAAAAAATATGTTAAATTTTTTTTTTTTTTTTTTCATCATTTCATAATTTAAAAACAAAAAAAAAAAAAATTTAGCCTAAATTTTACGATAAAAAAAAAACAGAAAAAATATAATCTAATACTTCCAGTCTGTTTATTATATGGCCTCCGTTTATATCTTTGTTTACTTATTCTAAAATCACAAATATAAAACCAAAACTATAAAAAATAACAAGGAGAAAAAAAAGAAAAAATAGAAAAAAGAATGAACATAAACACCAAAAGCTAGCGAAATGAAAAATTTATTTGAACTTTATTTTTTTTTTGCTGAAAAAACTTAAAAAAAAAAAAAAATATCTTCTTGGAAAAAAGTTTTGTGAGATTTTCATGGTTCTAGATAAAGTTTATGACTTTTAAAAAATCTTAAGCCTGTGTTTGTCAGACATGGTCTCTAAACTTAAAATTGATTACACAAGATAACCGAAATACCTAAACAACTACTAGTAAGTTTTCAACCGAAAAAAGAGAAAAAAAATTTTTTTTTTTTTTCTTCCCTCCTCCACTTATTGTTTAATGTTATGCTTCTGAGCTTTCGTTAAAATTAACCGTTAATATTTTATGTTGATATGCTTTTGAAAAATTCACTTTACAACCGATTTTTTTGTGTTACTAAGAGGATACAAATGATAACAAAATAAAATGAAAAAAAAAAAAAAAAATGGAAACTTTTGTTATCGACAAAAACCAAACATATATCACATGAGGCAATAAAACTTTTTTTTTATATATATAAGGGAGCAAAAATAAAAAATAAAAAACACAAAATGGGTGGAGATTTTCAACAAATTTACAATTCAAAAAAATAAAATGATGATGCAAATTAAGTATAAACACTAAATAAATGAATGATTTAAATTTTTGAAATATATATACATACTTAATTTTATAAAATACATATTATTATTATTAAATATAAATTTAAAATAATAATTAACGAACACGAACACGCGCACACACATTGAAAACGATTAACATAAATTATTACTAAAAAAAAAACCATTTTTTTTACCGTTGCTACAAAACTGATTCTGATTGGTTAATTTCACGTACCTAAACGATCGTTTAGGGCCCCGAAAAATAAAACAATGCGTCACGTGATTATTTGTTCGTTTGAAACCGCGGGTATTTTTAATAGCGCATCCATTAATATGGCGGTTAAATTTTGTAACGACAACAATTAAATAGTTTTTATTTATTTATTTATTTATTTATTACGTAAAATAAAAAAAGTGATTGATTATGTAGGCGTGAGAATAAAATAAAAAGTTTTTTTTTGTTTTAATGTGTTTAAAAATTCATAAATAATAAAAATACATATGTAAAAAAAAGGTATTTATTTGAAATAAGAAACAAACAATAACAACATTCATTTTTTTTTTTTTTTTTTTTGGTAACATGACATTTATCAATTAACGTCAAAATAATTTATTATTAATTGTTTATTACTCGTAATAAAAATGAAAAAACAACTTAAAATTATACTCGTAATGTATTCAATATTGATAAATAACGGTAATTATTATTTAATTAGAAAATTGATCGATTTAACTATTACAAGCACTTTCAAGTAATAGTTTTACTTATAAAAAATTAAAAAACAAAGAAAAAAATGATGTAAACAATTAGTAATAATGATAATAATAATAACGTGTTATTGTTAAATAAAAATCTTTTCTTTTTTTTTGTTTCCGTTTTGGTTAAATTAAAACACATTTATTTAAATATATATATATATGAATTTAAAACGGGTCAGAGTTCAAAATGACTTTTTTTGTGTCAAAATTAAATAATTATCAATAACAAACACAAACACGATTGTATAAATAAATACAAAAACATAAACCTTACTATTTACAACAACAATTTACACCAGGTACGTATTTATCATCATCACAGGTATTTAAATTTTTAACAACTTGATCATGTTCAACGAGTACAATTTCTATATTAGAAAAACTTTTTACTCGTACAGGTACGACAATTATTTTTGAATTTAAATTAACTAAAGATTTACTTTTCGCCGCCGTTAAATCGTTTTTATTATCGTAATATTCGGTTTTAATTATATTTTCCGATTCGCAATCTATTGTTTTTTTCCCTTCCATATTTTTTATCATTTGTTGTTGTTGTTGTTGTTGTTTCGAAGAATAAATTTTATCAAATGATTTTACTAATAATTTATTTTCTGATTTTTTTTTATTCGATAAAAATTTATCATTATTATTATTATTATTATTATTAATAGTAAAATCTTTATTTAATATAGTTTTATTTGAAAATCCAATTCTTTTACCTATAAATACTTTTTGATTTTCTTTTAAACGTTCCAATGAATCCTTGGAAAATTTTGCTTTTATATTTCCTATTGACATGCATTGTATCGATTTGCAATCCATTTTTATTTTTTTATCGAAACTTAAGCTTGTACCTATTGATTTTTCTGATTTTTCAACGGTAAATGATGAATCATTATTTCTCATGCATTTCAAACCTGAAAACCAAAAAAAAAAAAAAAAAATTTTTTTGTTGAGAAATAAAAATTATTTTATAATTATGTGTGAAAATATTAATTTGGTGACTCACTTTTTTCCGTTTGGAACCTTCCAAAAAGTATTTTTTTCCCCGTTATCGAATCCCTTTCGATTTTATGATAAACAAACAAAGCTGCTTTGCTCATCATTGGAAATTGAGTGTTATTATTTTTCACACCAAAATTTTTATTATTATTATTATTATTATTTTCAGTTTTTCTGTTAGGTCGTGACAGTAATAGTATGGGTTTATTTTTCAAAATTTTATTTAACGTTTCAAATGATCGTTTTTCATTTTTTACAAATTTTTTATCGTCGCGATGTCCTTTGTCGTCTTTTACATCATCTTCATCATCATCATCATCATCATCATCGTCTTCTTCATCGTCTCCGTCTTCGTCTTCGTCTTCGTCGTCGTCATCATCATCATCATCATCATCGTCTTCTTCGTCGTCATCATCATCGCCACTCTCATCAACATCATTTTCACTTTTTCTTTTATTCATCACGGTGTCTCTTATTTCTCTTTCCTCATCATTTTTTCTTATCATTTTATCACGATTATTATTATTATTTTCTTTGAGAAACGTTGAATTTTTTATTAAAACTTTCGAATTTTCTTCTTTCTCTTCTTCTTTAAATTTTTTCAAACGCGAATCCGTTCCAAATAAAAATTCTTTGAAATTTATTTTTTTATCATCATTTTGTACGGATTTTTCGCAACAGCGATTTCCCTCACAATATTTTTTCTCATCGATCTTGAATAAATCTTTTAAATCTTGAGTCGCCATCGAATCCGAGGAAATATTATCAACGGATTCTGTTAATCTTAAATTTTGTTTTCCACTCCGTATAAAATTCGATGGATTTTTAATTAAAATATTATAATCTGACGTCACGGTTTTGCTCAAACGTTTGTTTACATCGTATTTAGAATATTGAGTACCGACGTCTAAACTCGTTCGGGTGTCGTTCGAACGTTTACGATAAATAAAATTATTAACGAAATCCTTTTCGCTAATTAAATATTTCGTTTTAACGCATATTTCGTTCAATTGTTTTTTATTTACCGTGCAATCGGCTAATTTAATCGGTAGATTCATCGAACTTTGACCCTTTGGCACGAGTAATGATTTTCTAAATTTTCCATGGGTTAATTGTTCTGGGGTAAGTGAACCGTTGTATTCTTGAAGCGTTCGACTGTCGTATTTGATTTTCACGTGATATTCCTGAAAAGCCCACGTTTGACTTTTAACATTTTTTTTGTCAATTCTAAAAAAATGCTCTGTCATAAGTGAAAATTCTTTCGGTTTTGTCTTATTGTCATTTGTTGACGACGTAGAAGTTTTTAGATTTGATATTGACGTTTTGTCAGGTTGTTTTGTTCGTGATAATGTTTTGAATGAATTTTTAAACGTACTTTCGTTGGTGTTGTTGTGGTTGTTGCTGTTGCTGTTGTTTTCCTTTAATTTTTTTTTCGTTCCTCCCGAAATCTCGTGTGGACCCTCTATTTTAACGACTTTGGAAAAACAATCCGCTATGTTGTTCGGTGAGAGTAAATAATTTACTTGTAAATTTTTATTCGGAGTCGTTGAATTTCCCAGAGCCGCACCCTCTTTTTCTGAATTTTGTTTCTTTTTGAATATCGTTTTTACTTCGTCACCTGGATAAAAAAAAATTATTAATAATATTGATGATAGGGTTGTTATTATTACACGGGCGTGCCCGCGTGCGAATAAAAAATTAATTACCATCTTTACCATCTTTACCATCTTTTGATTTCTTTTTTTTGTCAGAGTCTGAAAATTTTGTCGATTTTTTTTTCTTTTCTTTTTTTTCTTTGCTTTTACTATTTTTATCTTTTTTACCTTTCTTTGATTTTCCCGATTTTTCTTCATCGCTTTTTTCTTCTTCCTCGTCATCCTACGCGAATAAAAAAAAAGTCAAAACAATTATTTTATTGAAAAATACAAATAAATAAATAAAATTTATTTATTGTATAAATTACGTCTTTCTTTTTCACACAGTAACAATCATCTTTTTGCTTTGCATTGTAATAATCACGTGAAACAGGTTCGTTTTTGTGAGGGCAAGGGTCTGATTTGATAATTATGTGCGTATGTGAACACGAATCGTCAGTGGCAGATTCTTTTCCACAAGTACACGGTTGCGACCCGGCAGGTTCTTTTGTGTGAGGACACGGTTTCGATGTGGGAGGCACGTTTGTGTGAGGACATGGTTGCATCGTGGCAGGTCCTTTTCCACAAGTACACGGTTGCGACCCGGCAGGTTCTTTTGTGTGAGGACATGGTTGCATCGTGGCAGGTTCTTTTCCACAAGTACACGGTTGCGACCCGGCAGGTTCTTTTGTGTGAGGACACGGTTTCGATGTGGGAGGCACGTTTGTGTGAGGACATGGTTGCATCGTGGCAGGCTCTTTTGTACAAGAACACGGTTCTGACGTGTCAGGCTCTTTTCTACAAGAACATGGTTTCGACGTGTCAGGCTCTTTTCTACAAGAACATGGTTTCGACGTGTCAGGCATTATTGTGTGAGGGCACGGTTCCGACGTGTCAGGCTCTTTTCTACAAGAACATGGTTTCGACGTGTCAGACATTATTGTGTGAGGGCACGGTTCCGACGTGGCAGGCTCGCTCGGATAAGGGCATGGAGTGGTAGTAGGTTGTTCGTTTGTGCAAGGGTATTGTTTTGTTGTTACATATGAATCTGTATCCTCCTCGCAATAATCTTTTTTATTATCGCTCTCAGAAGTTTGAACTAAATTTGTATCAATATCTGGACAATTTTGAACACCCTGAAAATAAAAGGTGAATTTTTTTTTTATTAGAAATATAATTTTTAACTATTGTTGTTTAAAATTTATTTACTACCTTGTCGGCATTTGAAGCTTTTAAGTCGTCTGATGCGGCACATGAATCAGATTTACATTTAAATAAATTAAATCTAAAGGGAGGAAAAATGACTCCTGATTTTTTTGAAAGCGACGTTGATCCTGAAGAGCAAAAGGACGAATTTTGTAACGGCGTTGAACAAGGATTAGGTTCTTTCGGACATGATTCTTCTGGTTCTGGAGGGTTAGGCGGATTAGGTGGACTGGGAGGAGAATACGATTTTTGACAAAATAAAGATGGAATTGGATAAGGTGGTTTTGAAGTTAAATTGCGAAATCGAAAAGGGAAAAAAAGTTGTTGGCAAGGCGATTTTGAAGTCTGAGAAGATGGCTGTGAAGAGGATGATTCTTGAGCTGAGACAGGCGGTCGTGAAGATGAACAAGATGATGCTTCAGCTGAAACAGGTGGCTGCGACTGGGAGCAAAGCGAATCAGGGGGTAAGGCGGATGGTTGTGAAGTTTGGCAAGGCGGCTCAGGAGGTGAAGCAGGCGGCAGTGGTCGTGGTGATGATGTTGAAGAACAAGGGGGTTTTGAAAGAACGGAAGAATTTTGTGGAAGTAAGCAAGGTGACTGCGAAGATGTGAGAGGTGGTTGTTGAGGTGCACAAGGCTGTTGAGGTGGACATGGTTGTGGAGATGGACACGGTTGTTGAGGAGATGAGAGAGAGGGCAAACGAAAGTGCGAAAAAACTTGTTGGCAAGACATTTGTGATCCTTGAGGCGCCGGATTTGAGCAAGATGCTTGTGATGAAAAAGAGGTTGACTGTAAGTTTGAGAAACATATCTTCGGCTTTGGGGAAGAAAGACAAGGCTGTGGTTTTGAGGAAGAAGAACAAGGCTGTGACTTTAAGGAAGAAGAACAAGGTTGTGATCGTGAGGGAGAAGAACATGGCTGTGGCATTGAGTTTGATGAGGTTGGCTGGGACTGTAAGTTTGAGGAATATGATTGTGGGGGTGATGAACATGGCCGCGGCTGTGGGTTTGAAGAAGTTGATTGCAAATTTGAGGAATATGACTGGGGGTTGGAAGAACATGGCTCTGGTTGTACATATGAAGAAGTTGCCTGCGGCTGTGTGTTTGAGGAGTACGATTGTGATTGTGGGTTCAAGGAATATGTTTGTGGACGTGAAGAACATGGCTGTGACTGTGGGTTTGAAGAAGTTTGCTGAGGCTGTGGGTTTGAAGCGTATGGTTGCGGATCTGAAGAACATGGCTGTGACTGTGACTGTGGGTTTGAGGAATATGCTTGTGAATGTGAAGGACATGGCTGTGACTGGGGTTTTGAGGAAGGGGGCTGAGGCTGTGGGTTTGAGGAGTATGGTTGTGGATGTGAAGAACATGGTTGTGACAGTGCCTGTGGATTCGAGGAAATTGACTGAGGTTGTGGGTTTGAGGAATATGCTTGTGAATGTGTAGGACATGGCTGAGGCTGTGGGTTTGAGGAGTATAATTGTGGATGTGAAGAACATGGCTGTGGTTGTGAAGAGCATGGTTGTTTGCATGAAGAGCATGGTTGTTTGCATGAAGAACATGGCTGTTGATAAGAAGTACAAGGATGTGGGTGTGAAAAACATGATTGTAACGGCGAAGAAGTTGGTTGTGATTGTACGGAGGATGGCTGTGGTGAAAAAGAAGATGATTTTAAATCTGAAAAACACGTCTGTCCTTGTGAGGAAAATGTCTGTGAATATGGGGAAGTCTGCTGATTTAAGGAAGATTGAAATGGGAGTGAATAAGATGGCTTTATATGTGAACATGATTTTGGCTGTAAAGTGGATGGCTGTGAGTGACAAGAATATGACTGTTGGTGGGAAATACATAGCTGCACGTGGGCAGAGGATGGCTTTGATTGTAAAGAAGTTGGTTGCAAGTTAGAAGGAGATGGTGATTGTTGCGTCTGTAATTGTGAACACGATTTTGGATTTAAGGAAGACAATGGAGAAAATGTAAAAACTGTAGGTGGAAGTGTTTGCTGAGATGAGGAACATGTTTGAGTAGGCAAAGGACGGCTTATTGGACCTGAGGGTAAACAAGGAAGCGTTGGTAGCGGCTGAAAACCTATAACATTTTTATCTGAAAATTAAATTAAAATTTTTTTTTATTTAAAATTAATTCCTTTCGTAAAGGCATTTTAATTTTAAATAACAACTTATCAAAAAATATTAATTTTTTTTTTTTTTTACCCGATTTAGGAGGATCTTCTTGTTCAACGCAAAATACGTCTCCATTTTGAGGTTTCATTCTTGTAAAACCAGAGGGTTTTTTAATGGCATCCAAAATTTTTAGCAAATTATTTACCTTAAAAAAAAATATTTTTCGACATTTATTGTAGTTAATTATTTAAATTGAATTTAAAATAAATTTGTACGTTAAAATTACCTCAAACATTGTTGCGCTAGCTATTTTACGATATATAAACCATTGTAATAAATAAGAATTTTTTTCTGTTCTGATTGACCCAGAATACAAATAATAATTCGATCTAAAGGGTGTAAAAAGTTGATTTAAAGCCAATTGAGGAAGTTGAACCGAAGAATCCACGGTATCAACATATGATGCTAATTTTGTAACTTGTGAAAGACTAGTTGACGGAGTTTCGGATACCTTAAAGTAAAAAAAAAAAAAAATTTTAATTAATAATTAATTGATTGCGTTGTAAAATTTTTATTATTAATTATTATAAATAAAAAAAATATACCTGAAATAAATATACGAAAACAATCGTACCATCTTTTTCATACATGGCTCTTTCTTGTGTTAAATAAGTTGTTTTATAATGAACGACGTGCATTTCTAACGGGTACCTAAAATAAATTCATTCATTTTTTTTTTGTTTGCTCTTAATAAAATACAATCGCGTACAAACGTACCTGACGCCATTTAATTGATGTTCACTGGGACAATGAAAATGTATGTGTGAAAATATATAGGTACCACTCAAAGGTCCTCCAGTAACGAAAGGTTTTCCTTGAGTCCATGTTCCGCTAATAGCAACTAAATTTCAAAAAAAAAAGAAAGAAAAATCAATAAAATTAAATAAGAAAATTCTCACTGGTAATTTTCAATGAATTTTAACTGACGCGTTTTTCCTGTATTTTTAAGTGATAAATTATTTGCTTGAGTTTCATATCCGCTCCAATAGAATGGTGGTAAATCAATATAAGATAAAGAAGAATCATTTATTTCTACTGGAGGATCGTTAGTTTTTTTTCTTCTAGATAAATTATTAGGATGATGTCGTTTGGTATACGGGCTACTATATCTTGAATCGTAAATGGAACCAAGGGATGAACTTTCATCTAATGAAAATTCACCGATGTCTTCTTCTTCTGATAAAAATAATTGTTCATTTTGTTCTTTGTTATTATAACAATTGGTATGATATTGATTGCCATGATCACAGTCACAATTTTGATTTTTAACTAATTTAAAATGAACAAAAAAAAAAAAATTAACAACAACAACAAATTAAAAATTAAATCATCATTGAAAAAAAAAAAATTTTTTTTTCCCTTAAAAATACAATAATGTTATCGATAAAAATAATAATAATAATTTGAATTATTTATTAAATTAAATTAATAATAAAATAATACCGTAAAAATTTGATTCTCGCATGTTTTTGTATTTATTTTACTTCACAATCAGATCATTATTTTTTTAATTTTTTTTTTGTGATTTGTATACAAAACTTTAAATTTCAAACATATTTGATTAATGTAAATAAAAAATAAAACATGATTGGTTCAATTTTAAAAAATTTAAAAAATTAATTATTTTACCACACAAGAAAAAAAAATTCCCTGCTTTCCAATTAACTTTCAAAATAAATTTTTTATTTATTTAAAAAAAAAATAGAATGAAAATTTAATTTAATCATATAAACATATTATAACATTTTAATTAATAAATTTAAAAAAATTTTAATAGCATTATACAATTAATTAAATAAATTTTTTTTTTTTTTTTTTTTGGGGATGTTTTAATAATTCATTCGTTAATGATTATCAATTATTTTAATAAATTTTATATAAAAATATATTTTATTAAAAATTTATTTTTATATAATTAACATATAAATATGTTTGTGTGTATATACAACTAATAATTGAAGTAATTAGTTGTATTAATACAATTTAATAGTATCGATAGGAGATGAACAAAAAAAACATAAATGTGTTAAATGCTTAAAAAAGACAATTAATTCACTGATTGTTTATTGAGTGAGTGCTGCCAGAGCATTAACTAAGTTTCCCTGATGTTCCCTGAGTGATCTTTCAGCAGCTGTTCTCGATATTTCCAATTCTCGAACCTGAAAACAAAAATTTTTTTTTTTTTTTTTTAATGCATGCGATAACACAAATATTTTTTTAAAAGATATAATATAATGTAAATGATATTACAATTAAACAAACATCTTCTTTCTTAATTGAAACTTTTGCCAATTCTCTTTCTCTCGCTATTTTATCTTCTACTTCTTTAGTTCTTTTATCTCCTATAAACTTTAATGCCTGAATGACAAAAAAAAAAAATAAACATTAAAACATATTTTTAAGCATTAAAAGTATTAAAATTACCCATCATGCCGGCGATAAATAATACTTTGAATAATGTGATATTATTAAATTTAAGACTTAAAAAATAATTTTTTTCTAAACTCTACTTTGTCCCTGTCATAAAACTTTAAATTTATATTAAAATATTATTAATTAATTAAAAAACTAATAAGTTGTTAAATATTTCACATTAATCCACAACTCAAGGCAATAAAGTAGTAAGATAAATAAACTTACCGAAAAGTCATCAGACGATGAAATTTCTTTTTCTTCAGCATAATCTGTTACTTTTTCTAAATCTGCTGCTCCACTGTCATGTTTCGCAACTTTCTTTTGAGAACTTTCCTTCTTTTGAGCTTCGTCAGAATCATCGTTTAATTCATCGTCCGCCATTTTTAATTCACACCGAAACCATAGAGTAATTACGTAATAAATTGGCGGTTAACTAGAATGAATGTACCGAATTTTTTTTCAAAGCGTGAAATATTATTAAATTTATAATGCAGAGAATGATAATGAAAATAAAAATTATTTATTATCAAATAGGTCGTTGGAAATTAAACTATTTTATTCAGGAAGGTAAAATTTTTAATAATTCTTTATATTTTAATTTTTTTTTAAAGATTTAAAATTTAAATACAAAAAACGGTGACAAATTTTTTTTAAAAATAAATACACATTTATAAATTATGAATTTATATTTAAATATCATTTTTATTGTGAACATATTATATAAGTTTTTTTTCATATATATATATAATATACTGTTTATAAATATTTAAAAATAATACACGAAATCACACATCGTCCACGACAATTTTCACCTTAAACAAAGTTAACGGATTTTTTAATTCTTCCCTAATATTTTTTTCAAATTTATCCCTTATAAAACTAAAATCCATTATATTATTCGGCTTTGATATGGTCCAAAAATGATCAAATTCAATATATAGATAACTGTAAAGCTGATGAAAAGTACGAATTGATAAAGGAGATCTGGTAGCATTAAACATGTGAGTTTTAGCTGCTCCATCTTTTACTAAATGATAAGTTAAGTGAGTTAAATTAATACCTAAATTGATAAAAAGAAAAAAAATTTTTTTAAATTATAAATTAACGCAGATTATAAAATTTACTAAAAATTAAATAATAAGACAAAATTTACTAACCTACAATTGCAAAAGCATAACCCTGCGTAGGATGTTGAGACTTTAATAAAATTTTTTGAGCAATGTTACTGTATTCGGAAGCGAAAAATAATAAATTTTCTAATCCCAATATGCCCATTCCCCTAAAATCTGTTTTAGGATCATCACCTAAAATGAAATTTAAAAAAAAAAAAAAAACATTCGAATAATTTAATTTAATAAAAAATAAATCGAGTGAGTATTAATACGATGCATTCATCAGTGATTTTACCCTGAAATCCTATAAATTGCCATTGTTTGGTAACCCTATTGTTTAATTTAACATCTGGAACTAATAAATTCCACAATTTTAATAATTTTTTTTCATGATTTTCATTACTGAAATCATAATTAGTTCTTCTTAATTCTTCGATTGTCCTAACTAAATTATCATAACTCCAAATTTGTTCTAAACATTTTGCAAAAGACATAAAAAATCGAATATGTACCTGTTTAAAAAATAAAAATATTCATTTTGTAATATAAAATAAAAAAAAAAAAAAACAATTCATGATCATTATAATTCCATGCGCATTTACTTGAGGATTTATTTTTTTAAAACGTATCACAGTTTCTAAACCATGCTGTAAAGCACGTCTGTAAGATTTTGCATTGTGATTTTTTTGATAACAATGAAGTTCTCTAATGGACGGATTTCTAGATTGTAAAAGTGATGCCTCAACAGCCAAAGTCCTCGGAGCACCAGATACTTCACCATAACATATTCTTTGAAGTTCGCATAGTTTTGTCGTTTTTCTAAGGAACCACTTAATTATCGGCCTTATATACCAGTATATATATTGTAAAACAGAATGAAAAGAGATCATCATGAACTGTAATAACAATACAAAAATTATTATTAAAACAAAAAAAATAGATTTAATAAAATTTTTATTATAATTGTATGTTAATTATTTTTTAATGATATTTAATAATAATTCTCTTGTGAATACCAAAAAAAAATTCTTTTTTACATTTTATGCCAGAAAAATCATTTTTCATATTAATAACCATGTCATGTGGCATGTATAAGGTTATTCTTTTTATTTTCAAACCGACAAATGATACTTACAGTTAGTGCAATAACAGACAACCATTAAGTAAGAAAGATTTTAATATTAAGAATGTTAAATCAACATATTAGATGTAGAAGACCAGAAGCAAGCTGAATCATGTGGTGCTACGATTTTTATAGAAAACGTTGCAATCACATTATCCAGTTTGCGTCTAAGCCTATAAATTGAAGCAAATGACATTGTAAGCGTGATAGCACAAAAAGCAAAAGCTACAAATTAAGTTAGTAAAAATGCATTTAAAAAAAAAAAGTAATTAATTAATTAAATGTATTCTAAGCCGAAATAAAGGTTTAAAAATATAACATTTAGCAATTATTTCAAAGCACCTTTCGGCAAAAAATAATTAAGATCTTACGTTATAAATGTAATAAAAAAAAAAAATTTTGCTTATTTACAATTCTGTAAAAAAAAATTAATTTTATCGTTTTTTATTGTTATTGATAAAAAACTTGACGTACCCTAAAGTGACTTAACGAAAATTAACATAGTCAAAGCTCAATAAGAATTAATTAAAAACTAATGATTACGTTTTATTTTTTTGTAAATTGTCACAACGTGACAATATATAACTATAAACAAACACCTGATTCTCCATTACGATGCGGTCGATACGAAACCGCTTTACACTGTAGATACCAAAGATAAAGTCATAGAATAATAATTTAATAAATTTTTGGGGCCCTAAAAAACGATGAAACTACTTTTTACGCAAACATTTTTTTCCTAATAAAGATATTTTCAAGGACGTCTATTAAAGGAAAAGGTCGAATGGTTATAAATTAGTACCATATTAATTTTTTTTTTTTTTTTGCAACATATACAATATTGTTACATGATAATATTTGATATGTAAATTTTTAAAATATATATTTTAGTGTTTGTTGATATAAAATGTATGGAATGAATTTACTCATTTTTATAAAGGTAAAATTTTTATTTAGGTCATTAGCATTTTATTTCACATGAAAGAATTTTTATCCTTCTATTATCTTGATTTTTATGACATATGAATTTTTTTCTGTCATTAAAAGTGTTTCAATTAAATTTATAAATATTAATCCAAATGGTATGCTTTATTTATAAATACAACTGATCAAAGTTTTGTTTTCAATTTAAATTCCCATTATAAAATTTAATTTTAGTTGTTTAAAATTTTTATAGTTAATAAAAATTATTTAAAAACTTTATTAAGCATTAAACCTTTTTAGTTTAAATTTACAGCATATAAAAAATTTAATAATTTAGATAATAGTTCCCTGTTGTTTGATTATTATTTTATTGTTTTCAAAAATAAAAATAATTATTTATGTTGAATAATTTATATGTAGGCGTTTTTCTTATGTATTAATTAATGTATTTTTTTTTTTTTTTAGAAACAAAATGACAGTGATTGAGGGCATTGGTGATGAAGTAATTAATTTTTTTATTTTAATTGTTGCAATACTTATTGGAATAATTGCATGGTGGTCTACGGATATATCTGAGAGACCATTAATGAGAACAGTTCTAATATTAGAACGTAGAACTGCTAGGCATACATTACCTGATGGTCAGAATACATTAGGAGAAATTAGAGACCCTAATGATTTACCTTCAGAACCCAATCAGCTTGAGACAGAAAGGAAATCATCTCAGTCTGAAAGAGAAATAAACAACTCGATGGAAATGAATTCAGAAGAGCAGTGTAATAATTTAAATATTAATTCCGAAGGCATAGAAAGTGCCATGTCAAGTCCTGGTGAGTTGCACCCTTAATTTTTTCTTTATCACTCATTATCAAAACTAAAAAATTATTTTACATATATACAAATATTATTAAAATTAGGCTACTAAAAAACAAATGAAAAAAAAAAAAAAAAAAAAATTTGAAATTCAAATTTAAATATACTACAAAAATGACCTTAAAAAATTTAATTTCCTTGATTAAATGTTTTTTTTTTTTTATTTACCAAACATTCGAGATTGTTTTAATGGGTTATTAAATTTATAATTGAAATTCGACCAATAAAATTTTATTTTAAGTAATATGTTTCTTGTTTTTCATTGAGAAAATGCAATTTTTTTTTTTTTTCTAATTCATAAAATTTTATTTTATTTTGTTATTTTAGAAGAAACAAAACCTAGTATAGCTGAAGGTAATAATGAATGCTCCAGAATTTCCAATGAAGAAGGTGAAGTATTTACTGTTAAAAATCAAACCAATCAGAAAATAAATGCTAAAGAAGAAGTAGTCGAAGAATCATTATCTGATGGTTTTACCTATTTAGAAAATTCAGAAATTGAAAGTTCCACATCGAATGAAAATATATTAAATTCTTCTAATGAAGGAAATATTAGGATTAAACTAAAATATCTTAATGACGACCAAAAATTGGTTGAAGGAAAATTACAGGAACCTTTGGGAGATTTTAAAAGGTAAAAAAAAAAATTCTTTTTTATTTATTTTTTATATAATGTTTTTTTATTCACAATATATATTCTGTTTTTATTACATTTATTGTAAAAATATATTTCATTGTATTTTTTTAGGAGGCATTTTAATTTAGAATTATCTGGAAGAAAATTAGTTAGGCTTATATTTAATGGTAAAGTATTGCAACAAGATTCAACAACTCTTCAAAATTATGGATTTTTCGACAATTGTGTTGTACATTGTCTCGTTCATCAACCTAGAACTCCACCTCCTTCACCTAATTTAAATAGACCTAGAGACACCCAAAATCAAAATGAAGGTCATAATCACTGGGATTTAGGAAATATATTTTTTGCCAGTCTGAGTTTTTTACTCGGATTAGCTTGGTATGGAAGATATCAGTATGCGCAGTTGTATACAGCCACTACAACTGTTGCCTTAATCGGATTAACCGGAATGTTCACAATATCTTTAATCGGAATGTATATGCCTGATGTTGATGGCATAAGAACATAATGATAAATCATTATTTTTTTTTTTTTTTATACAGATGTTAATAATTATTAGCATATCAACTTTAAAAAAAAAGAAAAAAAAAAAGTTGAATAAATATGTACATAGTTTTACTATAAAAAAAACAAAAAAAAAAAAAAAGAATTACTATAGATTTTAATTTAATAAATTTGTTGTTAATCACATAAGTATAAATTCCAAATTATACTAATATTTTTTTTTTACGCCATAAAAACATTCCTTTCTTAATTAAATTTAATAATCAAGTAATAAATTGTAAAATAACGACTCGATATATTCTTTTTTTTCTTCATCGTATTTAATAACCGATTTCGTTTGTAATTACTTTGGCAACAAGACGATTCGGTTTTTAAAAAAAAAATTTATGTTGGTACTCCTCCATCTACTGACCTCAATACAACATTCTTCAGTAACATACTTTATGTTTGTCAATTGTGTTAGTGTATTAAAAAATTTTTTTTCTTTATTTTTATTTTTACAAAAATATTTTCGGGTTTTTTATATTACAATTTAACGGATTATTTAATTTTAAAATCATAATTTTATTAAGTTTTACTCGTGAGTGTTAAAATATTTAAACTAGTGTAATACGTATGAAATAAAATAAATTACAAGGGTAAGTGTTTTGAATTAAGTAAATAAAAAAAATTTTGTAACAAGATAATTACAAAAGTGTTTTGATTTGAAAAAAAATTTTTTTTTTTTTTTATCAAACAACAACTTATTAGATTTTATTATAAAAAAAAATTTAATTGAATGATATTATATACCTTGTTTGACATGTGTTTAATTAAAAACATCTTAAAAGGTTTTTTTTTGTGATAATATATACGCAGGAATTCTGTTACACATAAAGTTAACAAATTTACCCAAGTTTTTTTTTTTTTTTTTTTTTTTTAAATAATTATGGTGTCATTTGTGAAAAAGTTTTAAAAAGTTTAATTTTAAAAAAAAAGAAAGAAAAAAATCGCACAAACGTATAAAATAATTTTAAGTGTTTTTGTTATAGTTTTACATCATTCAGGTAGTAAAAAAAATTATCCATTGTACTTTATTCTTTTTTTTTTTTTGTTTGTTACTTAATTTAAAACGTTAATTTCTTTTATCTTTATTATTATTATTAAATAACCTTAATTCGATTTAAAACATTAAATTTAACAATGAACGTTTTTGTTTTTTCGAAAAAATTCAATCACAAAAATGCAAAAAAAATTTTGATTCGAACAAGTGTTGTTTTTCTCAAATTCAAAAATTCTCCATTTTTTTTTTTTTTTTGTTAAAAAAAAATCACGCATAATTGCGCATTTATATACTTACGATTTTTTTTTTCTAAATGTCGTGGTTTTAGCAAAAATCTATTCGTACGTGATTTGAAAAGGGAAAAAAACGACGTTTTGCACCTTTGTT